GGCCCGCCGTCGCCACTCCGTTTCGATCACGGCGATGGCGAGGGGGTCGTCGACGCCGGCGGCCTCGATCACCCGCCGGCGGTCCGACGCGTATTGGATATCGCGAAACCGCACCTGCTTCGCCTCCAAGGCGGCGAGGAAACGACCCCACTCTCTATTCATGATCACCCACTCCCCAATAATAATAAGAAGAAGAAGAAGAAGAATCCGAAAGGATCGTTTCTATCGCTCGTTACTTCTATTGGAATATTAGATTTAATAGTAATAAACAGCCTCCCGCAATGGCTGGGGTCTACGCGAAAGGCCACGTGGACGGGTTACTTCTGATATTAAAAAGGGCCAAGGCCGGGATCCCTTCGTAGGGCTCTAATGTTGGGATGTCCCTAATGATTCTATGAATTCTCCCCTTCTGGAAAAGAAAAAAAAAACTGTAGCCTACAGAAAAGAGTCAAGCGTAGAAATAAGAGCCAATCCATAAAGAATAAAACCTGTCATCATGAACATTCTCGGCAAAAGAAAAAAAGGGAAAAAAATAGGCGCAGATCTCGGAAAAGAGTTGTTTAAGAAGCACGTCTATATGACGTGCGCACGTTCAAATTAGCAGACGCACCGCACTCACCTACCTGCACCGTATGGCCATACAAAGCAGGGCGTTGATGCTTTCACCACACCCTTCGCTTTCATTCCCCCACCCATTCACTAAGGATGATATCCCTCGCCGAAGGGAACCCGATCCCTCCGAATTCCACGCGCAGTGAAGCCAATAAATCGGAGTAAAAGTGGATACGGCGGGTTTACGCTAGGACGAGCACAAAGACGCGCTGAAGGAGGTCGGATACCGGCCGTGTTAGCGAGGAGCTGCTTGTGCAAAGCGCCACGCTCCGCTTGTTAGAATAGCAAGCCGCGTAGAACATTCACATCACGTCTGGAATCTATGTCAATCACCTCCTACCCGCATAGTGTAGGCGATTATCTGAAAGAGGGAACTTTTCTAAACGAAAGCAAAAAGAAATAATAACAAAAAGAAATAGATCATCACAGAAGAACAAATCATTGGCAATTTGAACAGCTGCAGATGCCTGATTCCCTGAAAAGGAATCAAAACGAAGGTGTCTAACCCAAGGCATGGCGTGCGCGCTCCACCTCGAATTTGCTTTCCCTTTAGTTTAGTGAGGTTGGTTGGTTTTTCATAGATGCACAAATAAAACATTCAGAAACGTAACACTAACGCCTTCCCACGTGCTCATTCATAAAAAGATCAAAATTATGATAGTTTATAGATTTCTCATTCCCCCTCCTTGTCGAGATTTTCTTCATCACTTTTTCCGTTTAGGGGGAAGGACGAATATTTCTGGTATCACCCATCCCCCCTCTTCTCTTCTTCTCCTACCCCCTCATTTCCACATCTTCTTCAGGGATATATTCTTATCCTGATCCTTGTGCATCACCTTCGCGACCGCAAGTTCGAAATCCTCCTGCGTGATGTGAACCCGCCGCTCGCGCAAGGCAAACATCCCCGCCTCCGTGCAAACCGCCTTAATCTCCGCGCCCGAGCAGTTGGGCGTCTTCTCCGCAATCGCCTTGAGGTTAATGCTGCGCGTGAGGTTCATCTTCCGCGAGTGAATCCGGAGAATCTCCAGCCGTGCCGCCTCATCTGGCGGGGGGAACTCAATCTTACGGTCAATCCTCCCAGGTCGAAGCAGCGCCTCATCGAGGATATCCATCCGATTCGTCGCCATAATCACCTTAATATTCTGTGTCGATTCGAAGCCGTCAAGCTGGTTAAGAAGCTCGAGCATCGTGCGCTGCACCTCGCTATCCCCGAGCGGCCCCGCCTCCATCCGGGTGGAGCCGATGGAGTCGATCTCATCCATAAAAATAATCGACGGGCTGTGTTCACGCGCCATCAGGAAAAGCTCTCGGACCATCCGCGCGCCCTCGCCGATGTACTTCTGCACGAGCTCCGCCCCACTCACACGGATAAAGGTGCACTCCGTGTGATGCGCTACCGCACGAGCGAGCAGCGTCTTTCCCGTTCCCGGTGGCCCGTAAAGCAGCACCCCTTTGGGCTGCGCGATGCCAAGCGCCTCAAGAAGCTCCGGATGCTTCACGGGAAGCTCAATCACCTCTTTGATCTCCTTCACCTGCCGTGAAAGGCCGCCGATCTCGTCGTAGGTCGACTCCTTTCCTGCTTTTTCCACCTTCATGAGAGAGATCAAAGGGTCTACCTTCGTCGGGAGGATGTAATGAATCGCGGAGGAGCCACTCCGCAGCGCCACCCGGGTGTTCGGCGTGAGGTCGCTGATGTTGATGTTCTTCTCCACCTCCACGACGACCTTCCCTTGCCCGCTCCCCACCTTGACGAGGACCTTGGACTTCCCCATAACCTTCACCACATCCCCGACGACGGAGCCGCTCTCTTGAAGGAGCTGAACCTCCTCCTTGAGGTGGCGAACACGGCGATTGAGCTCGTTTCGTTGAGCCTCCAGCCGCTGGAAGTTGTCTAACTTGCGCTTCTCCGTCGCGCGGAGGCCGTGGACTTTCTGCATGAAGTAAGAAGATACCGCCGGTAAGGTGGTGGGGCCATTGGCAACCTCCACAAGCATCGCTTTCGGACGATCTTACGTTACCCTTTCCTCGTTTCCGTACGGCGGTTGGTTAGTTAGTTGGCTTTAGTGGGAGACGTGATGTTGAAGCCACCAAAACGATTCAAAGGGAACGAAGAGGCAATAGAAGGCAAAAAAAAAAAGAAACGGCGCTTGGCGTGGAGATGCGGTCTGAATAAAAGCAAGCGTACTGCTGTGATGCCTCCCCAAATACGAAAGAAATAGAAATAACGCGTCTACGATCTTACCCTTTTCACTATGAATGTGTCTACCACCGCATAGAGAGACGATATCAATGCAAAGAGAAATCAAAGGTAAATAGGATTTCGACCAAATATAGATATATACACCATGCGTCATATTAACATGCTGAACACTAGTCCCATCATAACATTATTTGATATTTCTAAGCACCGGCTCTTTCCATGCACTTCAGGGATTACTTCCATTGTGAGTAAGGGAGGGAAGGGGAGGTGCGTATCTATATACGTGTGAAAATGCGTGCATCTAAAAATGATAAAAATAATAATAAGCACATAAAAAATATATATTATATGAGTATAAGGGATGGCATTAGACAGAAAAATAAGAATTCAAATCGATGTGTGCATCCATGCGAAACCTCAGGAAGTAAAAAGTTCGTAGTGACTATTAGTACCGATGTGTAAAAAGTCGAATACAACCTTAACAGGGGCTACGATACAATAAGAATTATCAACTGATATATATATATATGTATGCACACTCAAAATGCAACATCAGGACTCAAAGCCAATGGCCCTTTAAAAAAAAAGCAGAGAAGAATTTATGAAACGCGAGAACTTATTTCTTCTTCGGTGATATCTCCGTTATGTAGTCTGTCCTTTCCGACAACGTCACGGTAAAGTCTATTATAGTCAAATAAATTCGCAATGGCCAATTTGTAAACTCATCACCACACACAAGAAAAAATTCAACATCCGACAAGATTAAAGTTGCGAGTGTTGATGTTGCGTTCTTGGTGAGAGGCCCTTCCCCAGAAGGCAACCATCCATTTGGTATTCACACTTCGTTTCCCCTACCCAATCCTTCCTAAAGGATGGATCCCTGTTTATATAGATATGTAAAAAGAGAGATATACATATAGGTATCCTTTGTATCCAAAACCATCGATCCATAGCGTGCGCATTCACTTGTTTTTTCCTTTTTTTTTCTTTTTTCGAGCCGCTTAGTACGAAAAAGCCCCTGCCAACGCCTTGACTTCGTCCTCGGGTCCTCCCCAAGGGTCCTCTCGCGACGTCTCATACTCTACTACCACCAGTCTGCTCAATCTGAAGTAATCCTCACCGTCATTGAGATCGTTTCTCGCCAAACCAAGGAGGTCCTCGACGCCGTCTTGACTGATTCCCCCCCGTATTTCCTGTCGATGGCGTTTTGACCACTCCGCGAGTCCCACTCCACCGGACGAGGTGGTTGAAAATCGCTCGCGAACCTCCCCTTCACGACTTTCCTCGACTTCGCCTCGATGCGGATTCGTCATCGCGTGGGGGGGGTGCGTTTGGAAGGAAACGAGAGGGGCCCGAGGGGCACCCCCCCCTCCAGAGGCCTCGGCGAGCGCCATCTCCTCCAGGCATCGTTTCCGCGACCGCAGGAGTTGCATCCCGGTCGGGCGGCGGGAATGAAATTCGCGTGGATTCAACCGCCCCCCGACCCCTCCTTCCCCGGCCTCCTCCCCCTTTCCCTCCTCCGCGGCGACGGATCGGTGGGATTCCCGGGAAACCAACGAGGTCAAACCCGCCACAGTGGAGCCCCCTCCCCGCCCCGCCCCGGACGAAAGAAGCGGTGGGGGGAAAAGCGGAATCGAAACGGAAGAAACCGCCCCCCCGTGTAGAGGAAAGGCGGTTTCCTCGTTATCGTTGACTTCATCAAAGACGAGTCGTTTCTGCGCAGGGGAGCCCTGCACGGCGAGCTGGGCGAGCTGCTCCGCAATGTCGATCGTCGCCGTCGCCTGCGAGTTCGTCGTGGCGCTGATGTGGGAGAACCCGCTGCTCCCGTCCTGCGTGAGGGGGAAGGGGTGGGCAAAGGGGTGCGCCCCGGGCGGGGGATTCGAAACGGGCGGGACCCCCACACCCCGTTGGGGTAAAAACGGCCCCGCGAAGGCGTCGTCGAGGGAAAACCCCGCGTGGGATCGCTCGAGCGGGCCCCCCTTCCCCCCCCCCCCTTCCAACGGGCGCGGCGCCTCCTCGAGGAGGGGAGGGGCGAGGAAGGGGGGGGAGCCCCGGCATCCCCCGTCGAGGCCGCCGCCGAAAGGGGACGTGGGGGTCGCCCGCGCGGGTGGCTTTT